TGGTTGCTTCGCAGACACTGTCCAGCCATCTCATCCTCGGTCGTCCCCTTCTCCTCTTGCCGTCACACTTTCCTAACATCAAGGTTTTTTCCAAGGAGTCTTTTCTTCTCATGAGATGGCCAAAGTACTGGAGCCTCAGCTTCAGGATCTGTCCTTCCAGTGAGCACTCAGGGTTGATTTCCTTTAGAATTGATAGGTTTGTTCTCCTTGCAGTCCAGGGGATTCTCAAGAGTCTCCTCCAGCACCACAATTCAAAGGCATCAATTCTTCAGCAGTCAGCTTTCTTTATGGTCCAGCTCTCACTTCCATACATTGCTACAGGAAAAACCATAGCTTTGACTATTCAGACTTTTGTTGGCAAGGTGATGTCTCTGCTTTTTAAGATGCTGTCAAGATTTGTCATTGCTTTCCTCCCAAGAAGCAGGCGTCTTTTAATTTCGTGGCTGCTGTCTCCATCTGCAGTGATCATGGAGCCCAGGAAAATAAAATCTGTCACTTCCTCCATGTCTTCCCCTTCTATTTCCCAGGAGGTGATGGGACCAGTGGCCATGATCTTAGTTTTTTTGATGTTGAGTTTCACATCGTTTTTTGCACTCTACTCTTTCACTGTCATTACAAGGTTCTTTAATTCCTCCTCACCTTCTGCCATCAGAGTGGTATCATCTGCATATCTGAGGTTGTTGATATTTCTTCCGGCAAGAAGTTATTTGTGAGTTATTTGGTAGTAATTCTCCAATAAGGATTTTCCTGACAGCTATCCTGGAAATGAAGCACAGAGGTGCCTCTGAATATGTGCTTACTCAAGAGTTGGTCTTCAGACTTTTTTCTGTCACACTGGTTTTGCTGAGAAACTTCTTTATTTCCTAGTTTGCTTAGTATATAGCGAAGCTTTTAGCTGTTAACAGTAAAACAATTGGGATCAGAAATCCCTGTCAATCTACGGGACCTCACCCAGAGATCTACCAACACAACCTGCCTTACCATCTGTCCATTACCAGTTGGAGGTTATCGCAATGGTGGATCCTCTAGGTTTCCCCTTCCTCCTCCTTTTCAACATCCCTCCCTGGAGTGTTTGGCTGCAGTGTCAGCTTTGCTCCACCTGAGGCTGCTCTTGACTAGCTTTCCTACACAAGTTATAAATAAAATTGGGTCTGCTACCTTGCTTATTGCCTGCAGCGCTGCAGGTTGTAGGCTTTGCTAAAAAGTGTGTGTGTTTGGGGGTGGGGGTGCTGGAGGAATGGGGAGATGTAGCTGTTTGTAGCCTGCCATGAGTTTACCATTTATTGTCAACTTTGGCAGTAGAGGCGGGTGATGATGTATACTTTACAGAAGCATTATTTCCCCCTCCCCTCCACTACCAACACTGAAAAAGAAAAGAGAGAAAGCCATTATGAAGCTGTCAACATATATGAAAATGAAAACTAACTACTGCATATGTAAAGGCTACAGCCTATCCATCTTAATCAGAGAGCAAAGGATAACTTGCTAAGCAGATTAACTTTCAACTCAGAAAGTCTGCAGCATGTTTGACTGCTGTAACTTTGAAAGCTTAGTAATGCAAATGCACTTCTAGTGAAACTACAGGCTGCCTTGTCAGCTCACATCTGCCTCTTCTGCTTAGGATTTCCTGTTCCATGCATTTGCATTATGCGGGTGTTTTTTCCAGGTTTTTCTTTTGGCACTAGTCCATTGATGCTCTTTTCAGGTCATCTCGCTCCCTCCTCTTGTCTTTTTGCTGTCAGGTATATGTTTTACAGTACTATCATCTGCTATTATTTGATGGCTAAAACATGCATGGGATCATTGATTTCTTTTCTTTTTTAATTAAACCCCATATAGTTGGTGAGCTGTTTTAGAGGTTCATACTTGTCTTTGAACTCATTTCTCCTTCTCTTTATGTATTTCACGGCAGGCCCTTTGTAGCACTACACATTTGTGCACCACTGCTCTCCCAAGCAGTTGCAAGTGATTCCTCCCCCCAGCTTTAAAAAACTGTTCACCTATTTGTTTCTGAGAATAAATCAGCATTTTGCTTGAAGAAGAGTGGTATATAATGGCAATGTGTATTTTTCAGTAGACAAATAAGTTTTCTTTTAGAAAAAACAACCACCACTCTGCTATTCCATTGGGGCAACCAAATAATTGTTTGTTTGTTTGTTTGTTTGTTTGTTTGTTTGTTTGTTTGTTTGTTTGTTTGTTTATTTATTTATTTATTTATTTATTTATTTATTTATTTATTTATTTATTTATTTATTTATTTATTTATTTATTTATTTATTTATTTATTTATTTATTTATTTATTGGATTTCTATCCCACCCTTCTAGACAGGAGTCTACTCAGGGCGGCTCACAATGTGTAGCACACAAACAGATAAAAACAATTAAAATCTACAATAATAATATGATCAAGATGGGAGGATAAACAATAAAAACCAAGAAAAGTACAATCAAGAATTGGTGGGAGGGAAGGCCTGCCTAAAGAGCCAAGTCTTTAATTGACTCTTAAAAACACCCAGCGAGGGTGCCAGACAGATCTCTGGCGGCAAGCTGTTCCAAAGTTGAGGGGCCACCATCGAGAAGGCCCAGTTTCTTGTTCTTTCTTTTCGGGCCTCTCTCGCGTCAGGCCCCTCAGCCGTCTTTCCTCGCTATGGCGAGTGACTCGAGTAGATCTAGGTGGGAGAAGAATTCTGCCAGGTATCGAGATCCTAAACCATTTAGGGCCTTATAAATCATCATTAACACTTTGAAGTCAATGCAGAAATGAATGGGCAGCCAATGCAAAGCAGCCAGAATGGGAAAGATATGCTGGAATTCTCTCGCTCCACTAAGTAATCTGGCTGCC